TCAAATAAATGTTAATAAAATAAAGTGTTTGTCTGCTGGGACTCCTCCTGTCAGCCTCCGCAGACCTACGGGTTTTCAAATTTTCTTAAAATATTACTGTTTTTCAGAGTGTATACCAAATATATATATAAAAATCTCACTTTATGACAAAAGCTATTATAGCTTTTCCACCCGTCAGTAAGTGAGCCGTGTCCTACAAACCGGCTACAAGTCGGTGAGGCAGGGACCTACCTGCACATGCTGGCAGGGAAGGCGTTTTTCTGAGCTTCACCTTCTGCCCTTCTCACTGGTGAAGTCCCAAAGCTGTCCCTTGTGGACTGGCCCAACTCCTGACACCCTCGTGCCGTCTGATCTCATCTGAGGAACTACAAAACACTGCCTTGTGTCCTTCCTCTCATACCCTACCCTCGCATTAGGCACATTTTCCCATCAGTGATTAATTCACACTGACAATGTAACCTGGTCCCATGGAAGGGTTGAAGCTGGAATCTGGTACAATTAGGATTTCACACAGAGCACTCCACTTCTCATAAAATATATATATATATATACATATATATATATGTATGTGTATGTATATGTATATACATATATATATATATATATATGTATATACATATATATACATATATATATATATTTATTTTTTTTTGTGAGGCATACAAATAATCTTTTAATGGTTGTTCCAAAGACTTTGTCACATCACAAATGTAGCCTGAATGACACTTAACAACTTGGAGCAGTATTTTTCCAGTCTGTAAAGAATAGAAATATTTGATGATGCTCTTTAAAAGGGTAATAAATGCTGAAGTTTCTAAGCTGCTGCGGTACAGTGCACAATCTAACCTGATCTTATGCCAAGGAAGTATCTTTTCTCCTTCCTACTATTTATCTTTAACAGGGTTTCACAGAAACACAGAATGGTAGAGGTGTGCAGGGACCTGAGGAGGCCCCGGCCCAGCCCCTGCTGCAGCAGGGCCACCCAGAGCAGGGTGCCCAGGGAGGAGACCTCACCACCTCTCTGTGCAGCCTATCCCAGTGCTCTGTCACACACATAATAAAAAACAAACAACCAAAAACCCTTTCCCAGTGCTCAGATGGCACCTCCCATGTTTCGGTTTGTGTCCATTACCTCTTGTCCAAGCACTGGGCACCACTGAAATTAGCCAGGCTCCACCCTCTTTGCACGCTCCCTTCAGGTATTTTTACACGCAGATGAGCTTACAGAATCACAGACTGGCCGAGGTCAGGAGGGACCTCTGAAGATTATCTACATCCATTCTGAGCTTTCTCTTCTCCAGGCTAAACAGCCCCAGCTCTCTCAGCCTTTACTCCCAGGACAGGTGCTCCAGTTCCTTCGTTATCTTTGTGGCCCTTCACTGAACTCAGTACTTCAGGTGTGGCCTCACCAGGACTGATAGAGTGGAAGGGTCACCTCCCTCAGTCCCCTGGCAATGCTTTACCTGATGCAGCCCGGGAAACCATCAGCCTTTGTGGCACAGGCACACAGCTGGCTCATGCTGGGGAACTGGTGTCCACCAGGACTCTCAGGTCTTTTTCTGTGAGGCTGATTTCCAGCTGGGCAGCACCCAGCATGTGCTGGTGCCTGGGGTTGTTTCTCCCCAGGTGTAGGACCTTGCACTTCTCCTTGTTGAACTTCACGAGGTTCCTGCCAGCCTGCTCCTCCAGCCTGTTGAGGTCCCTCTGGATGGCACAGTGTCATCTGCAAACTTGCTGAAGGTGCACCCTGTCCAGATCATTAATGCAGGTGTTGAACAGAACTGGGCCTGGTATGCACCCCTGAGGTACACCACTAGTTACAGGCCTTCAACTAGTCTGTAGGCTGCTGATTACCATACTCAGGGCCTGGCTGTTCAGTCAGTTCTCGATCCATCTCACTGCCCATGCAGCCCATACTTCATGAGCTTCTCTGTGAAGACCTCATGAGGGACGATGCTAAAAGCCTTACCAAAGTCCAGGTAGACAATACCCACTGCTCTCCCCTCATCTACCAAGCCAGTTGTTTCATCGCATGATTATTGGGTTGGCCAAGCACAACTTCCCCTTGGTGAATCCATGCTGATTTCTTCCAGTCTCCTTCTTGACTTTGAAATGCCTCAAAATAGCTTCCGAGATTAGCAGGGGTCACCTTCCTGGGGATTGAGGTAAGGCTCACCAGTTAATTAACAGCCTAGAAGCACATGAGACTCAATGAAATAATTAGTACAACTAAACAAAAGTGTTGTATGAAAGCCCAGAGCTCCAAGAGCACCATGAAAACAGTGAGACTTTATAAAAGCAGCAGGTCAATTCATCAAAGGCAGGTATTTAACTCCTTCCCCACTGGAACAAGTTTTTCTCACTGGAGATGCTCTTATCCATTTATTTTTTCAGTTTTTCCATTGCCATGGCGACAGTTCTCCAGTCTGATCTCTTTTGATGTACAGCACTCCAAAGTCATGGATGAAACTTAGCAAGACTCACCAAAAAATCATCAAGTGCATTTTAAAACTTGTTATTTGCCTCTCTCATCCATGTGTGATTTTTAATTTTTAAACAACTGCAAAGTTTAGCTGTTGCAGTAAACAAGCTTGTCTCAGGCACACAATTGCCCCACTATTTCAGATGTCAACATCTGCCCAATACAAATATAAATTAAAGATGATTACTACACTTTAATGATTAATGAGCTTATTATTCTACTGATTATAATTACTACAATACTTGAGCTGTTTTCTTTCCTTCATCCGATTTCCTCAACCTAAATTGATCAAAATTGTGACCACTTAACATGCATATTTTTGTCTTTGGACCAAAGCATTAATGTGGGAAGAGGATATCATGGGATGGAGTACATTACTCATTTTGTAATGAGCCAAAGGATAAAGTAGGAGACTGAGAGCAAACCAAGATTTGACATGAAGGCCAACGTGTTTCAAACAACAGGAAAGCTGGCAAGGAATTCTCCTTCAATGAAATAAGTTATTAATTACCAAGCTAGTAACTTAGGTATCCCATGGGGAACTCACTGGGAAAGCATTACTTTAATTACGTGAAATATGAGTATTTTGCTTGATTCATATACATGTATATTTTTTTTTATAACACCAGAATAACTAGAATAAAATTGTGGAGATTCCCTTTACTGTTATCGTTTACTTAGTTTACTTATAGAATCATAGAATATCCTGAGTTGGAAGGGACCCTTAAGGATCATCAAGTCCAACTCTTGACACCGCACAGGTCTACCCAAAAGTTCAGACCATGTGACTAAGCGCACAGTCCAATCTCTTCTTAAATTCAGTCAGGCTCGGTGCAGTGACCACTTCCCTGGGGAGCCTGTTCCAGTGTGCAACCACCCTCTCTGTGAAGAACCCCCTCCTGATGTCAAGCCTAAACTTCCCCTGCCTCAGCTTAACCCCGTTCCCGCGGGTCCTGTCGCTGGTGTTAATGGAGAAAAGGTCTCCTGCCTTTCGACACCCTCTTACGAGGAAGTTGTAAGTTACGAGGAAGTACTTAGTTTACTTAGTTTGGAAAGATAGTGAATAACCCAGATGGAGAAACATTTCTTTGCTATTAGATACGACCATCCTAGGAAGAACTGTAAGATGTACTGGCAAACCAGGGTACACGTCTCCACTTCTAATTCACTAAGTAGGTTGGAGATATCTTCCCCTAGAACTAATTCTGTATTCTGTACTAAAACATCCTGCATGTTATCAGGAAGTTACTCCGATGGAATTAAGTTCAATTACAGACACAGGAGAATATCTGCTTGCTCCAGGATGTTCTTAATCAGGACTTTTTCTTCAGTATCTTAAAAAAGCGGAGTTACAGTTTTCCATCATAGGAATAAATCACATGCACCAACAAGTTTCATTGTCCTGAAATGGTAACAGAAAACTGTATTTTATCTTAGTATGTTCATATATTTTTCACTAAATGCATTGATAAATCAATTAGTTAATTTAGTTTGTACTTTTCAGACTGGTGACCCCCACCCCTGTGAACCTGAGAAGGCAATTTTCATTGCAGTATCTAAGTTCTGGTTGAAATGACAAACCACCAGAGCTTCTAAAACTGTATCTGTAGTCCTTTGTGTTGGAATGGCAAGTCTTTTTTTGTCCTTGTTGCTTTGTTTTGTTTTAATCTCCCATGATACGACTTCCTAAAGGGGAATTCTAAACTCAGGGTTTAAAAATATCATTACCACAGTTGGGCCTTTCAAGAGACCAACACGTACATTCTAGTGTTGCTCCAAGCAGCGACGTATTTGTAAAGATCTCTTCACAAAATTATATTGGCTTTGCAAATTATGCTCTGAAGCATTAATATTGGATCAGGAGAAGGGAGAAAATGATTCGTTATTGCATAGGAAGTGACAGAAACAGCACTTGAGTAGTACTGGCATACTATAGCCCATCTTTTCTATAACAATTTATACGTGCGTGGTAAAAGAGTCCCAGTCTGCTTTAATATACCATTACCAGCCAGCTCTCACAGTGGAGTCCTAATAGGGAAGTTTCACCCATCAAAAGAAATGCACATGTACATAGACATTTAGCCCTGTTTCTTTCGAGTCAGCAATTAAATAAGCAACTTATTTGAAACACTGATGTTGGTTTGTTTGTTTTTGAATTTACCAGCTGAAAAAAACCTTGAGTTGTCATGTTCAGAAACAGTGCACAAGAAGGAGCAATAGGCTTTTAGGTGGAATTTTATAGTATTGCAAGTACAATTCCCAAGTAACAAGTAGCTGGCCTTGAAATTCTGTTTACCAGCTCTACTGGAAAAGAATTATATGTGCACATTGGTATGCAAGCTCTAGACAACATATGGGATATAAACAATTTTTCAACAAAATACTCCAAATAACACTGTAAATGCGTGTGTCGTGATGCTTAGTAATCTATAAAGGAGAAACTGCATTAAAATAATACCATTTTTAGCACTCATTAAAAAGAGACAGACACCAATGAATTTAGAAAAACAAGTTCACGTTTTTTTTAAACTACAGTTTAATCAGATTTAAAGACACAAATTAGAAAAAAACATTTATAGGCAAGTTAAAAACACCTTTAAAACATAACAGCATGCTGCTTCTGCAGCACTGCTGAGACAAATTAGAAATAAGTAATTATTAAAATATCACAATCACAGTGTAACTAACAGTGGTATTTTAATTTTACCATACACCAACACTTAGTTTATGGATCTGTTGAAAAATAACACTTTTTTAAAAATATATATTTTGGAATAATAAAAATGAAACTCACTGACAATGCATTATATTCTGAATCAGGAAAGGCAAATTTAGGAATACTGTAGCTATCCACACTTTCAGGGGTGTTTTCTCATCTGAACATATGGGTATTTGGAGGCATTACTACTTCTGCATTGAGGTAAAACTATTCCCTTGAACGTGTGACCAAGGCAGGAAATAATGGAGTTCTGTATTTTAAAGTCTTAAATTCAATAACTTATTACAACATCTTTGAATAATGCTATTTTCACCCATCTTACACTATGTCCCATTCAATGTATTTTGAATGTTCTCTTCTAACTGATCTAGAATACATCTGAGGTCTGGGATTTAAGAATGACTACCTAGTTACTATTTATCATTTTTGACACCTCTGTCACAGTAAGACACATCAGAATGTTCTTCAGAGAAACAGTCAATACCACTGGACAAAAAAAAGGTACAAAGAAAAGACATAAAAAGAACTGAAACACGTAGAAAGGCAAAATATGCGTAGGCAAATACTCCTTTAACTTATTGTGACAGAAGATTGTTGCACCTTTAGTATGTAGTGTTACACTATTCTGATTGCCAGTCTCCAGGCACCCTATTTTTTATTTCACTATTTTTATATCTCAGTTTACATCTTCACCGTTTGGATGGACAAAAGGTACCCTCCCAGTCTGACTGAAGCATGGACCACAGCTGTCTGTTCATACTACGGATCATGGGGAAACATAACGTAAACCCAGCCTGGGGTATTTCTCCCTCCCAACCAAAGGAAGGAGATTCTGCAGAGGTCTCTTTTGCCCAGAGGTTCCTTTGGGATAAGGTGCTAGACTGAGCCACTATGAACAGAAAAAGCTTCCTCCGCAAGTGGCCCAGTTTCCAACTCTGATTTCAGTCATGTATCTGCAGTCCAGCTTTGCCTACGTGGTCTGCAGCAGAAAACCCAAACTGAAAGAAGCCCTTTACCTTCCACTCAAGCCTGTTTGCATTTCCAGAAGCAGAAAGCTTAGTGCTCCAAGACCAGAGCTGAACAGACGTCAGCAGATGCAGCATACAACCAGCGGGCTCAATGCTACTGCAGTGTAAATATTGATATGACCTGTTTTAAAGGGATTTATGCACGCCATAGGCAGCTACAGCTTGTCAATTCATAAGTGTTTACAGGATATGCATATGGATCCAGGCCATCAAGAAGTGCCTAAAACCAAAACCAGGCCGATGTCACTGAACGCTGAACTAACTCACAGAAGAGGGCGAAATGGCAAAATTTGCTTTTGCACATTTGTATAGCTGCGAAGTGAGCAAGTTATATTGTAGATATTATTCCATGGGGTGAAAATTGTTACAGCTGATGGATTTTGTTAAAAATATACTAAAAGCTCATCTCAAAATTCATTTTGAAGAAAGTAAAAAAAAAAAAAAATCATTTAGTTTTAATCATAGTAAGTAACCGTTGCAACATTTGCAGTTAAAACATCTCAGGGAAACTTAGCAGATGCCTGGATTTCGTGGTGTTCGTGAAGTGTCTAGATTGGGATAGCAACACCCAGTACAGTTCCAGGCAGATCTAGCACAGAGCAGCAGCAGCTGGGGCCGCAAGAAGCTGCTCTGTCCAGCCCTGCGTGCAGCATTGGCAGCATGAGCCACCCCAGGAGCTCTGTGCCAAATCCTCCCGGCCACTGCTGGGACAGGCTCAGACTGCACAGACTTCTGTGCAGGGAGCTGTTCCACAAGGCTGTGCGGAGGGGAAAAGGCTGACGGTGCCAACTAGCTGAGATTCAGACCCTAGATCTGGTAATCTGAGCAGAGAGTAGGTGCAATTCAGTAGAGTATCTGCTTAGATACTTACTCAGCGTAGCATTTAAGTACTTATTTAACTTGAAGCACTTATAAGCCAGCCAATGTTTTGCCAGCACTTAAAAATATACCCAAGTGCTGTTCTGAGCACTACTGGACCGAAATAAATAAAGAAAAATTGTGTACTTCAATGCTGTGATGGATCAACACAGCACATGTTTTTATATATAGGGTTGGCATCATAATAAAAGCTGAGATTTACTTCCATCTGTTTTTCTAACACTGATCACTTTTCAAAATAAATGGCAGCATTTCCAAATTCATTGCAAAAATAAAAAAATCAAACCTGCTTTCAGAATTCAATGAAAATTAAAAAGTGAAAGAGTTAAGGGTAAAGGAAATGAAAGCCTAAAATTATTCTAGCTCATGCTTTTAAACTTCTCTCTCAAGGCCAACTTATAAAGTTGAACACGTGAAAGTTACATGTAAGCAACACATTTGTATGCAAACCCAAGAATACATCTGCCCGTGTATTTAAACAAATTGTCAACAATTTGTTTGCAAAGCTTCTGAGAGAAGAATCCAGACTCTGTTAAAATTACTTTTGATATGGATTTGACAGGAGGCCAGGCTCTCACCAGGGTGTTTGCAAAACAGATCTCATCTGCATCAGTTCTAGGACCACCTAGATCAACGCCAGTAAAAGGGGCACAACTACCTCGTGTCCATCCTGTCATACAAGCTTAGTGCTTGTGTTTCTGTGACTTATTCCCACAGGGGAAAGGGAACAAGCTAAGTAAGCGTAGGATTCTGTTACTATATGACATACCGTACTGGTAAAACTCATATCAAAAGTCAGTGTAGAGCATGGAATACACAAAGATCTCTTTGTAAAGTCTTCTCATTAAAGCATGATTTCTATTAAAAGCATATTAAAATGCATACCAATATTTTTACATGATAATGTTTTTTACATGATAACATGTTTTAAAGTGTCACCTATCACTGAAACCTTGTCTACATGTCAGCAGCTGAAGGAATGGCCACAGAAGAGTAAGTTTCCTCAAGAAGGGCATCATGTAACTGTAAAGCTAACAAAGCCTTCCCTATTACAACAGTAGTAGGCACCACTGAAACTAGTCTTTAAATATATATATAACACATATCTCTTTCATTAATACAAAAGCATAAAAGGTTAAAAAAAGGTTAAGCAAGCGAATAGTTACTAGCAGGGTGACTACATTTAGTAACTAATATTAACTCATTAAGTGCCTCTTGGAATTGTTCACAATAGGCAAGTATCTGCAAAGCACCATAAAATGATCAATAATATGTTACATTTACTTTTCAAAGAGTGCTCATCTGGAATACAGAAAAGACTTCTGCCTTTTGGATATATATTAGTTAAGTGAAAGAACATTGAAAACCATGTTTCCTTCATGTCCAAAATGGTTGGAGGCAATTTGCTTTCCACTTTTTTTCTCAGGAAGAGTAATAGTAAGTCAACATCATCCTTTCAAATTCATTATTAGGAAGTTACGTGTGTAAAACTTGAAAATTATCTAAAGCATCTGGGCTGGCTGCTCTTGTCTTTTTGACTGACTGAATAAAAAGGATCCAGTGCCACATTTTCATTTGTTACAGCAAGGCAGAAAACTAGCAAAGCTGAGGGAAAACAACTAAAACCCAATTTGACTAATATCGGAGTGCTGCCATTTAAAAGAAAAAAACAAACAAACAAAAAAACACAAAACACCTCCTTATGTAGTCCTCAAGAGAACTCATCTACATAAGGAGCAATTTTTGTTACAAGTACTTCAAGTACTTCTTTGTTCCACAATGATTTTAAAACTAAATTTTAGGACACTACAATTAAAAAGAAATTCTATGCAAAATAAAATTGTCATCATTTTCTTATGTCGCAATTATTTAAGAGGTTCAAATAGAGAAGAAAAAATTAATTGTATTGCACACAGACACCAGTCATGTCCAGTTTTGAAACCCGTATCTTGCTACTTGTGACCAGCTAAAGCAAGCACATTTTCTTATCACTTTTAACTTGCACATCCGTTCTGAACAAAACTGTATCTGTGAATTCACTCACACTGAAGTACGGGACTTCACTAGCCTAAGTCTGCTTATTTCCTGGGAGTGCTTAAAACTGATTTTGTGTATCTTAATGAAGAATTCAGAAGCCTCCCTCGCACGTATTGGCACTCCTGCCAAAACAAGAAAAGAATACCAGAATATTAATGGAAAAATGGCACATGAGATGTACTGGCATCTAAAACTGCTTGTTTGAGTAGATACATAGCCTGCACCAACAAAAAGAGGAATTCAAGTCGAACAGCAACAAATACTGAAAGAATCAACCCAAAATCTACTCACGCACACAGAAATGTGCAGTTCTATTTGTTATTTGACATGGATGTCCTTCCAAGAACAGAAAGTGGAAAATGTCTTTCCTGATTCTCTCTAATAAGGATAAATAAGCAGAAAGAAATTAGTGTGCCCTTGCTTATAAACAATGGAAGAAAAAAAAATCATTTTGTAGAGACAAATGATTACAATGGCAACACCATGGGGAGGTCTACTTGGGTAATCAACAGAAGGATTTAGAAATCAGATTATTTTCTTTTAAAGATAATACAGAGGTCACTGAAACACTCAACGTCCCTGCCCACCTATGACTCATTCCGTATTTAGTTCCACCTTTCTGTGTCAGTTCAGCAGTGCTAACCTACATGTAATAATTTTAAAAAGCATGTTTTCCTCCTGTGAGTTTTAAGCAAGGAGACAAAGGACACTCACAGAACTACCACAGCAAGGAAACAGCTCTGACCTGACTTAGGATTTGGTTCTTTAGAGAGTAAGTCAGACAAGTATCGTGACTAATTCTGCATGGCAGTGTCCCTAGAGGGCCGATGATGACCATTACTGTTCCCCTGGTATTAGGAATATTGACCCCACCAGGACAAATTGATCAAAAATTTCAGCATCAAAACAGTATGACAAAAGTTTCATTTGTTTCATTCATTCACAGGTTACTAACCAACAAGCTGCGTTATTTTTCTCCAGTAGTATTTTTTTTTTTAGCGTTAAAACTGGTACAATGTGTGGATAAACAGTTCATTTACTAAAATAAAATCGTATGAAAACACAGAATATACGCAATATGTAGCCCTTTAACACAGTACTTTTGCAGGGACAATCATCACAACAAATGGTCTGGAATAGATATAACCAATGCATTATTCCCTTGACTTTCTTCCATAATTCAGTCAGTTAGATATTCTCAAGGATTTATGTCTTTCATTATGTCACCCACAAATACTATGTGAAATCTGCATTTTAAATCCTAATTTAAAAATGAATCTTTTCCTCTAATTCATATACTTCTTTGCATAAAGGGCCATCAATGATTAAGCATAAGGAACTTGGTTATCACGGGGATTTCACATTTCACCATATGAATTAGATCTCAAGTTATTTTTGACATTTTTACACCTCAAGCATCATCAACTAACTACTGTATGCCTTAAAATGACTTTGTTTTTAAGTATTAAAAATCATTTTTTGGTAAAATAGTTCTATTCTAGAACAAGTATTTCTGGTATTTAAGGGTAAAAACTCATTTTCATTGAAGTCCTGCTGCTTGCACAACGTCTTCAGTGTCCTACAGCTGCCTTTCCTTCTCTAGCTGCACAGCCTACTTGGTGATGTTTTGCAGTGGTTTTATACTTTAAATTAAAGAAACAGTATGGAGCTGTCAAGCTCTGGAAAAGGTGAACCTCCAGGTGTGTGTGGTGGTTTTTTTTAATCCATTCAGAAGGGTTATGTGGAATTAGACTCTTTATCACAGAAACCTAACTATAATTTGGCATCAGTAAAGTTTACAGTTCCATAATGTACTGTAATTGTTTGAGATACTTTAAGAAAACCCTCCAAATACTGAGATGCTTATTGCAATTCCCTTTTAAAGAGGAGGTTCAAAAACCTTCTAATGACTTTGCATTTCTTATTTGTATCTTCTTTATAGCATATAGGATCATATATTTGAAATACACTTTCCACAAAATCAGTCTTGAAAATACCACTTAGAAACAATTTTTCAGTAAATCGAGGGTTTAAGGCAAGTCATTCATTTGGAAAACTTCATTTCCATTTGTTAATCCTAGATTGACACAATTTTATTTTCACCCCATCAGTGCCTTGGGATACACAACGTACATTCAGCAAAGGGCACACATATGACCCTATGGACATACGTTGCAAGTCCTGAGTGCCCATTGAAATAATGGTAATATCTTCATATAAGGCGTGACCCACAGGGACATGGCATGGGAGGGGTTAATCTGTTTTGTTTCCAGTCTTGCTATTGTATGTGATTTTCCTAGGTAATGCATTCTTTTCATACTAAACATCTTTGCAAACAAATACAAACCCCTTTAAAAGGTGCTAAAAATGGGTTTCTGAAAACATACAAAATATATTCATCATAGTATTCCTCAATCACTGCTTTAGTGCTTGATATCTGCAGGTTATTTCTTCTTTCTGACTGAAACTATTATTTGTTGTGGAATAACTGTTCTTTTGCAAAAGGTTTTCTTCTTCTAGTTTTTTGGACCACACAGGCTGGGTGCTTTCATGCTTTTTACTTCCTTTTTGAGTTCTTTTCAATGGAAATACCAACAGCACCAGGATGCTGGCAATATGAAGACAGAAATAGCAGGAGCTAAAAAAAAATCAGAAAAAACACAAGTAAAAACACTGGTTCAACAAAACTCTTGACTAGTCTTATGAGATACTTAAGGAGACCTACTTGCATACAGTACTTTTCACATAAAATATCCAAGTAAAACATCAATATTTTATTTTTAAATTAAAAAGTAGTACGGGGAGAAATAGAAATAAAGTCTTCTCCCACGGTATTTAGTGCTGTATCAGAGATGGAACCAGATTTCATAAGTACTGGATGCCAAGTGAAGAGAAATCTGCTTTGATCTATTTACTATTTCAAAAAAGTTGCTTCTAGGAAGTCATTATCTAGTCTTGATATAAAATAGGTTAAGGACATAAGCTCATCTCAAAGGTTTTGTTTTATTTTCCAGGTGCAGGAAAAAATAAGTCCATTATGATAGGAAAACAAGAGCACATCATGGTTTCTTAAACAAAAACCAAGCTCACATGTTAGAATACAAATAGCTTGCTCAACTGACAAATCTGATAATTATCACTAATATAATTCAGAAATCTTCTGCCAGAGAAAATACATCTATGTCCTTTGAGTTAAAGAGAAAGGAATCAGAACGTGCTTACCTGTAAAAGGTGAGAGACGGTTTCACAGAAAGCAGTACAAATGGCACAACTGTGTAACTTATTGCTACTTGAGTTGTCATCCATGTTACAATATCATAACATAGTTTAAGAGTAGGAGATTCAACAAAATAGTGTCTGATATTGTTTCTTATCTGAAAAAGCAGATAATAGTAAGTTAGATTAGTAATAAACTAATTACTGCTACATTCCTGTATAGATTTTTTCCATGAAGTTCATAGGATGAATAGAAATGCTACTGTCTGGACAAGCATCTTGTCTGTTTAAAATACTTAAAAAACATTAACTTCAAAGGGAGCCAATTCAAATTCCTTGACTTTTAGGATAGCATGCTTCATCCAGTGCAAGAATTTTAACTACTTAGGAATTTAAACCAAATTAAAAGAATGCATACGCACCCATCTGCCCTAAATCCAGTGCATCTTCAGACTAAAATGTGGCAGGCATTCTATTCTATACCAAGACATTTTGTAAATACATAGTTTTGGAGTTAATGAAAACCAGAAGGCTTCTGCTGAAAACCCCTGTGTAATAAGCAGCTAACATACGTAAATGGCTACGATGTATTTTAAGACTAGTGGGATAAAAACAAAAACAAAACAAAAACAAAGAAACAAAAAAAAATAAGAAAGAAAAAGAAACCAGAATATTCCAAATGTCAGTTCTAATGACACATGTCAGGAGTCTTACTAATAACTAATATCAGGAGGAACTATTATAAAAAGATTCATTATTTCCTATTCTAAGTCTTCTTTTGGTTGTAAAATCCTGTTTGAATAATGGAATACCGAAAGTATTTCAAAAAATCCCAAATTAGACTTGAGTTCAATTTTGTTTAAGACGAGACAGAACCTCTAATATGAGTCCATTGAACAAGTGTCTTAAGTAGGGATGTCATCAACCCCTCTTGGTAATATAGATACAAAATGGATTCCTCTAAGGTTTATGTTTTCCTCCTACTTTTATTTCCCCCCAGAATAACTCCTAAATTATCTCAATCATCTGCTGACTTCCAGACTCCAACAGGGTTCCTGCACCTGACAAATACAGATTTTAGGATTGACGTGGAGGAATATTAACTAATGCCCTCTATGAAATGTTGTTCCACTAACCAGTCCTCCGAAGGCTGCCTGCCAAAACGTAATTCTAGGCTGGCTTATGCTGATTTCCTTAAAACCCTTAAAAACATTAAAACCCTTTTTCAGTTTTCTTGCCCTTTTTACCCATATTCCCATGTACGTATCATATTCCCACTCCGACTTTGTTAGTTAAGCTAAGACAGATAAGTCATTCTAGCCTCATATCCTTCTACCTTGCTGCCTGTCATCTCCCTTGCTTTCTCCTATCACCACGTACAGTGACTTGTTCCTGAGTCTGTAAAGCTTCATCCAAGTTTTACAGAATTTCTTGTAGAGAAATGGAGTACTGTAGGACCTGAAGGATGACATTTAAGATAAATCTATAATTGCCCATAGTAAACATCTGATTATGAAGCATGTAATGATTAAAGGGAATAAAACAAGTTGAATACACATTTAGGCATGACAGGAGAAGAAAATGTGAATGGAGTTGCCAATTTGTTCAGTCTTAATAAAGGCTAATAGAGTTAAATACAAATATGCTAAAGTGCCTCTAATGTATCTTATCGGTTAACATTAAGTACCTGTTTGTACAGCAACTGAAAATCTTTTTATTTAATATTTTATTGATTGATGGTATGAAATGGGAATACAACACAGCTTCCTAGCAAAGCCCAGGACTCAGTGCAGGAAGCGGTCTGATTTACTGGACCTGTGCTGCTGAGAAAACACAACTTCTACCTGTGACCCGTCCCTGAACCCTGGCTTTTGCCCCTCGTTGATAGATGCCAAAGTTCACTGTGACAGAGACTGGAATGGAGATGGGAAATACACTTATTCTAAAAAAAAAAAGGAGTCAATTCTGTCAAAGATTATACCCACATCTCCATGAAGTAAGAGAAGCAGATTTTTTTTTACTGTTAGCAACAATCTAAATCTGAAGTACCACCTTCCCCTAGCTATTACAGCAAAAAAGAGCAGTCTGCTTCCTTTCTCAGTCTCCTGGCTCTTTCAATGGAAAAGCGGTCTGCTACTCTGCTCTGGGCTGACATCTGAATATTTTGCTCCTCTTTCCCCTTGAGCAGCTGAAAAACCTGCCTCTGTTCTTATTCAGCTTCTCCAGCAGGACTGTGAGAGATTTCTTGACAGATTTGCTGGGTCCATTTTGCTCTAAATAGCAGCAGCAAAAGCTTGTGATTATTACTGTGCTGCTGGTTGGACAACTTTAAGTAGTAACTGCACTAGAGATGTTTATCTGCTGTTGAGGGGGAGCGTTCTTTAGTTGCCATTGTTATAACAGTATTGGACAGAAATTAGGAAAGGGATGGAGTTTATAAATATCTAGCACTGACCCTCAAATTTAAAGCTAATGATCATCAATGATAAGAGTTTTTTTTCAGAATGATCCTAGATAACATCTTGTTCAGCATGGCATAATAACAAATGATCAGTTACAAGAGAGGAAGAGTTTACACAAAAGATACACTACAAAAGATGTTATAGGATGTGCACAGTCTTGCTTGATTCTGCTGATTACTCCCTCTTTATAATTAATCATTTCCACTGTTCTCATAACTAAAAAGTAAACATTATCAGACATACTGTTTTTGTCATCTGTAAAGCACATCTTTGGACTACAGAACACAGCCTCAATTTTCTTTCACAAAACTCCTTATTATTTAAGAAGAAACTTGGCTGGTACTTACAGCTCGTGCTGCTAGTGTCATTAGTACTCCTGTTAAAAACGTTAAATAATATCCCGGGTAAACCCCATGCCAAATGGCAGAAAGGATGAACGTCTGGATGGTTGGGCTGAAGGTGGCTCGCTCATAGCACACTCTAACAAATGAAAGACAAACCAGGATAAATAACATGAGAGACAGATCATCAATCTTTCCTGTTACTATTTATACATTTATACTTTTTGCAGGTTCGCCTCTAACATAATATTTGCAATGCAACTGCAGTTTATTATTATTTAACAACATTGCCACTACATTATGTCGTACAAAAAATATCTAAAGCTACTCAGAGCTGCAGATTTAACCCCTCAGTGCTAACCTAAGCTGAGTGCCATCATTTATGGTACTTATTCAGAGTGAAATGATACAGAAGCATCCAAAGACAGGTGTTGGTATTAATAAGGGATCTTGAGCCATCTAAAAATATGTTGAAAAGCTAGACTGGAAGGCACAGCTTATCCCACAAGCTCTTGCAGTAAGTCTGATATATGTATTTCATAAAATGAAATCTGCTTACGGGTGAAGGGGAAAAGTAACAACTACCTTCAATTTTGAGTATCGGAGAGATTGTAGTTGTACATTTGTGTGTGTAGGGCAATCCAGTGAGCATGATGATGAAGTGATAATTAACGAGTCTAGGGACGCAAGAATATTAAATAAGGAGAATGCTGAACTTTGCTGTTTAAAAATTGAGACTCTGAATTACTTGGCAAGGTCCTACAATAAGGAGTTCTAGAAGGACAAAGGGAAAAAGGAATCCAAGAGAGGCAGTAGCTTCTAAAAGACAACATTAAATGACACAGTGACAAACCATCATGATGTGGAAGAATGATAGGAAGCATGGTAAGGTCCTGATATGGCTTCATCAAGAGTTCTTTAATGATCTGAAAACCAAAAAGCAATAGGAAATATGGAAACAGATGCATACTAAAGTGAAGCAAAAATAAACAGCACAAGCATGCATGAACAGAAATCTAAGACTAACATATAAAAATGAGTTTTAACTAAAAAAGGGCATCGACATCAATATGTGAAAAGGTTTTTATAAATACGTAGCATGTAACAGGAAGACAGAAGAGAATGCAAGTGTATTATTGAAAGAGGAAGACAAGCTAATGATACATAAAACTGAAACATTCGCTATTTATTTAACTATTTTACTATTTCTATATATAAAAAAGATTGTTAGGGCTAAGTAATACAGTCAGTGTTAAAGAGCAGAAGGTAAAAAGACAAGATTTGAACAGGGAATGATCAAAAGTGTATTCTGCTAACTTATTTCAGACAAATAGATGTGATGAGTTTTATCTCATGAGTTCTTCAGTGTGGGGCACCAGTACAGCCCCCTCCCAAAGGGCTTTGCTAACAACAGCTGTTAAGATAAGAATGTGGGCCTGAAGTAGGGTGCAAGTGTATACCTGTAAGTAATACACAAAACTATCTGAGGTAATTTGCACAAAATAGATAAACTTAATGAAGAAAGTAACGTTGGTCAATTAAACAATAACCAGGAATTTCAAAGAGACTTTTGAAACAAAGAAGGTGTCAGCCTGAAAATAAGTACAAAAGCAGCATGAAAAATTGCAGCAATTCAGAGATGCCTTGGAATAAAAACACCCAGAGTCAAAACCTGGTTTCTTGCTGCCAGAGGTCACTCCACAAGCCAAAACCAAGACAGAGCAGCCCTCCCAGTGGGCACCATGTAGCCTTCATCCAGCAAGGGGAATGTCAGTACAGTGTGCAATACACAGGGAGCAATATCTCACCCCTATCAGCTGCATGCTTGTGAACTCGTTGCCTCTTTTTCTAATTGGCATGTGAATCATCAGGTTCACATGAAACGGGGAACTCACTCTCCCACTGGCAATGTGCACAAGCAGGAGGCTCACACGTGGAAAAAGGAGGTGTGTTTCTGTAACCTGCATGCCCTTTGGCGTGTAGGCAGGCTGCATGTAACTGTGGGCGTGTACGTGCATTTTTAAAACTCTTTGGGATTAGCTACAGAAAAGGGTTTAGAAATTTATTAAATCACAACATGCAGTTACAAAATTTTACCTCTTCTAGTACTGATATGAATCCTGAATGTGTATTTCACTGACTGCTGGTTAATTACGTATCATTAATATATCGATAAATGGATTAAAACTCCTTTTTCTTTAGTTTAAGCTACTTTAACTGAGCAGAATTTCCCCTGTAAGGAATTCAGGAGCTAAATATTTAACTTCATTAACTAGAAAAATATCAGTCATATCAACACAAGTCAGACAGGATACATAATAGAAACAATCATCAAGCTTCAATTGAAGAGTTAAAAGTAAGCTTAAAAATGCCTCTGTGGATTTTTCAATAAGAAATTCTGTTCAAATGCTTCACTTGACATTCTTAAAAGCAAACCAAGGAAATAGAGCCATCATAACAGGCTCAGAAAATCTGTTCAAATGTGGGTTGTTCAGGCTATTTGAGATTTGCTGTAGCAGTGGGAAGATGCATCAACTGCTCAGCAAAGTACTGTCCTTGGCCTGGTTCTATACATTTATTACTAGCTTGGGTGGTAGGCTAAGAAGTGTGTTTTTCAACCTGTCTTCCCTTCCTTCTTTCTGGGAGGGAAGGTGAGGTAGAGAAGATGTACATTGTATTCTCATCGGGTAAAGAACTAGAATTCAAAATGATCTTTGACAGATTTGAAATGGTTTGAAATCAGTAAGATGAAGTCCAAAGTCTAGAACCTCTAAGAACAGTGGAAGATACAAACCAGTAACTGTGTATGTACATAACACTAGTGGAAAAGTAATGATCATGAAGATGATGAAAAACCTGAGTATCAGCTGAGCATGAATAAAATCGATTGCTGCTGCAAACAAAGACAGATGCAATACTGATGTACTAGCAGGAGTGTTATCTAAAGAAAAGGAAGGTAATTAAGCCATTTTAATAATTCATTCTGCCTGTACCAAGTCAGGGAAAGACCTTGGAGGTCTTAGAAGTATTACATCTACTGTAAGAAGACAAGAAGTCTGGGAAGAAGCCAGAAGAGAGAAACAAGGACCACTCAGGTTTTGCACACATAATTAGATGTTTCCTTTCAAAAGAAGAATGAACAGGCTGAGGAATTTCCCAATGAGGAAACATCATCATGATATATATATTGCTGATGCATGCTAATGTGTAAATATCTATTTTGAAATGCATGCGTCTAACCATAATACTTCTGAACTGCTAGATTTTTCTGATATGCTCATTAAACTTTATGATCTGTAGACCAGTTAACTGTGTAACAGTCTTTATAAAAGGGTTTGTTGTTTTTTTTTCACACCATCAGGATTTAAAACCTGTAATTCTGATGACTCCTCTTCTGAGAGCATCAGAAAAGAAACAGAAACAATATTTCTGTTTGGCATTTCTATATTTCTTGTGAGATACATATCTAAGATTTTAGGTACTTCTCTGAATGGTAAATAAGTGAGGTATTAAAGGTTTTTATATGTTTAAAGGATGCATGAGCTTGTCTTATTTAAACTGCTGTAGCATTGCAACTAGCAAAGTGATAGGCAATCGTATTATATATTCTGTGCCACTACTTGTAGTCCTTGTGTGTAATCATTAAAACAATCTTTTATTCAAAATTTAACTTTAAGAAAACTTTCCACCTATCTCTCTTTCACTGTGGCAAGAATCAATACATATTTAGACTATCCTCAGAGATTCTCCTCCAATTGTTCTAAAAATATTTATTAAAGAAGATGCATTAATTTATTTTGGCACCTTCTTTTAATGTCACCTTAAGAGCAACTGATTTGCCTTTTTTTCTCCTTCCAGTTCAAAGGTAACGGTAATATTTTCTACCGTAAAGCACTTTTTCCTTTAAAATCATTCAATGTAAGAGTTTGAAAGGTTACTGAAATATAACCTCACTAAGTTTTAATACTGATAAACTTCTATTCTATATATAAATTTTAAACTTGCTTTATTAAATTATATACTTTTGTATCTGTGGCATACAATTCTTCCTTGCTGTCCTAACAACATATTCTAGTGCCTATGGAGCCAACTAGAATACTCACATGAAATTCGATTTCTGTTGTTTTTTTCTGTTTGTTTAAATTTTATTACTAAGATAAATATTTAGGGAAGAAATTACGGAAAAAAGAGCACTGACTATAAAGAAATTTGATGGAGGCAACTTCCTGCTGCCAGCCATCCAAGAATGAGATGAAGTCCTCTGAGTGATCTCAAGATGGGGGGTCTAGGTTAAACTTGCACCTATTTTTAAAAGATTATCTCTACGGAGACTGGAAGAAGGGAAACAAAACCCTTGTACTACTCTCAAGAACACTTTGTTTTACTTTCTAGTGACCACAAAGAAGTGGTAGAAGCAGAATGATTTACTTCACCGTAAAGTTGAAGTAAACTCAACTTTTACTTGCCTGTTTCCCAGACAAGGGAAGAAATGCATCTGGGAGATATTCATTTGCAAATTTTTTTTGATAGTATACTGTACGGTTTGATATTGCCCATGCAACCATTACAGAAGGAGTACAGAAAGTTCTCTCAGAGAATGTACAGAAGTTCCCGTATCACTGTGTGGCTAAAAAACTCAGAGCTTCCATAGGCTAGAAGCCAAAGATGTATGCTTTGCCTACTGCTCTCAGCTACATGCACAGCTTTGAATGGAAACAGGAAAAAAAGAAAAGAGATTCCTCCGTAGATTAATACTTTTAGGATCCCTATAGCTAGTGCTGAAGTTAAACAGTTTCCATCACTAGCTGACAGTTTACAATAAGTGATCAAAATTCAGAGGCTTTAATACAAGTATTATGAGAAGAATGTTCCATGCAGTTGCTAAACAACTGTACTGTTTTGTGGGCTCTAGCTTTAAATGCTAAATTATCTTCAAAGAAATATTTATTTTAGAAACTTCTGTGCAGGAAAGCTTGCCTTTAAGAAATAAATACCTTTTAAGCCAAAGAGCTGTTTGGATATTCCAGTTATCAAGAAACATCTTGAAACTTGTGGAAGACTGTAAAACAAAATAAAACCAGTTATTTCAGTAATTGTGAAATGTTACAAAATATTCCAGAATTCTGGCATATAAACTGCTCAAAAATATTTTGAGATTAACTGAATAAGGAATGTACTCAACTATTTATAAGCACAAAATATTTTGGAAATCAACCGACAAGTTAAACATATTCAAAGCAGATTCTATTTTCCATTCTTCCCTAAGGGTGTGAACTTGTCATTTCTGATTTAAAACATACTCACTATCTTGATAAACAAAATGCTTAGATAAAGTTAATGAAGTTGCAATTAAATACATACATGGGCACGTATTTTATTTAAAAGAGCAATGAACAAACCTCTATTTGCTGGATTCTCAGATTTGATATGAGATCCCAACGTGTAACTCCATTTTTGTCATAGCCTCTAAAGCCAAACCCTGCTGCATTATTAATTGCATCTGCTGCAGTGGGACAAAAAGAAACAAAGGAATTATAAACTGCCAGTATTACAAACATTGTGCAGTACACAGCATGTAGTTGTTCAATATATTTGTGACATTTCAAAGGCTATGCACAGATTTTTAAATACTGAGGATCACTGCATTAGATGCTTGAACAAACAGCAAACAATCCAAGCAACATACTTGCTTTCAATTAAAAAAAACTTGTACTGAAGCAAAAGAATGGGTGGCATTACTACTTGCCTCACAGTACAGATGCCTCCCTCTCTCATACAGCATACTTAGATCTGCTTGAGCAATTTGATGGAAAAACAAACTCAATGAGATGCATAAAGACTACAAAACCGTGGCTGGTTGTGATGACTTGAGACAGCAGCTCAACTCTCAGGTACACGGCTTCAGTGTTTGTTATGCAGCAGTAGTGATGTCTGAAGCCCAACAATAAACCTGCACGGTTCAGTTAGGTGCACATTCACAGCACCACACGTAACCAGTGAAGGCCTAATAAAGTACACAGCAATTTACTAAGCAGTGCACAATTTGTCATTCCACTGATGACACGAGGCTGCTGTTAACATCCCACTTCTGAGTGTTTACAACGCATGTCAAAGCTCAAATACTTACAAACAAAGCATATTTTTTCTGTGGGAAAGCAGCTACCATCACGTGGATTGTGCAGGAAAAAACAAGGGTTCTCACCCTGAACATCACCTCTCGCTTTCAGTACTCACGTCTGGCTCAGCTTTGTCAGCTCAGGCACTAAAGCTTCCTCAGCTGAACTTCTCAAATTTGGATAGCCACTTAAACATAAACTGAGTCCTTCCCAAATATTGCCTCTGCTGAGCCAGGCATTGGGTGCATGCACCCAAACACCATAACCCTTTTTAAATTACATCTAGCAAGGCAAGAAAAAATCCTCAACTTTTATTACCGTATTAAAAAGAATTTACTTTATACAATAGTGATACATAAGTGAAATTCATCAATTCATTTTCCTTTCTTCTCAACAGCTTTTTCAAGGTACTAATCCAACATACTCAGAAAATCAAAGATGTGATTGATCCAAACACTCAAACAGTTCTTCTCCTGAGGCTGAGTTTCTCCAACTATTCACAGGTCTTGAACAGGGCTTTGTGATGGTTGATTTAATACAGGGTAATTTATAATATTTTTTCCCCTCATCAACAATTTTAAAAGATATCTATCTGCTATAAATGATGTCACCTGCAAATATTAGACAACAATTTTACGCTGTTAGCTGAATACATGAACTCCACAATCCCTTGCTGGCTAGAGCACAAAGACTATACCTAGAATGCTCATTTTATTAGCTAGCATTTAGTAAGTATCATTTTATTACCAGATATTTTTCCTTTAGTGCAAAAAATAGTGATGTGCAACTCAAAAGTGTAACATCCAGTAAAAATGTTAAGGGCTCTGCACATTCAACTCACACCATTAGAAGTTTAGATGAAGGAGAAAGTTGAAAAAAGTTACTTTGCAAACCAGAAGTACAGAATTAATATGGTATATTTTTGTCAGTATTTTACCAAAAGAATGCTAACACTATTCTGCTAGCATAGAGAAGTAGAAATCTATCTGAAGAATGACAGGGGGGAAAAGAAGAAAATTATTCATTTTTCAGCTGACTCCTGCTTTTGACGGATGATGGTATTGGTGCCTAAGAGCATAATATTCAAAAATATTTCATTCCACAACAAGCCCCAGAATTACTATATCCAGACACACTGAAAGCGCTTCATTCATTGACCGGGAATGAAACCAGCAGCTGTAAATGAGTCACGCTGCTCTGCTACACTGAGGCTTTCTTTATTGCATTGTTTCCCACAGATTTTCTCTCCTAAGACTTATGAAACAAATATGTAAAACTGAAGAGGAGGAGGAAACCAACGAAATCTGTTTTGTGAGACACATCCAATATGCCAACTTATATAAATACAGCATTCTGTTTTCCTGTTTTGTTGTTGTTGCTGTTGTTTTGTTTTTCTTTTATTTTAAATAACATATGAAAAACAAAAGATAGTTTAAACTGTATCATCTATTCAGTGTCTTAGATGGGTGACTATGGGTGCCCTGTCATTTGTCAAGCAGAATTTTTCGCAAGCAAAGACTAAAAATGAAGTGCCATCCATCAAATTCTGGAAACACCACTGCCAACACTATCTGCTATTAACACTACTACACATCTAAATTTCAATATACTCGTTTTCCCTTCATGCTTGAAAAAAAAAAAATCAAGCAAATTACTGCTAACGAACCAGAGAAAGAGGCTTAGAATAAGGCAAAGAATCAAAACAAAACACAAAACAAAACACAAAAGCACCCCCAAGGACTGTACATCAAACCAGTTCCATAATTTTTAAAAGGCAAAAAAGACATTGCTCATTAAAACACTGCCACTCTCCAAAAACCCTCACGTTTCACTCAGATTTGTTCAGTAGACCATGATCTCATTTGCAATACTGTCACAACATTGTGCTTAGTTTTATGATAGGTTTTGTTTCACGAAGAAAAGACATTGTTCAATATATTTGACAATCCCTTGTAATACTTAAATATAATAATGTTTGCCTAAGGCCTCAAGAGGGCACTGTCACTTCTTAATACATAGCATGCAGCATCTCAAAAGAGACTCAATGCATATAGTTGTGGGTGTTTTTTTCTGTACTTACCTAAAGTCCATGCAAAATAATATTTGGGTCTGGCAGCCATAAGAGACACGTATAGGTAGAAAAACCTTACAGGCCATGATGCTGTAGCTCGGAAGTTCTCATCAATGTTGTATTCCACAGGCAAAGTTTTGGTAATAGTCATGTGAAAGAGTAAGGAGAGTCCACAGACTAAGAGTTTCTGTGCCACAGCTATCTGAAAAGTTTAAGATAAGAAACTTTGTAAGCTTTGGTTTTTGGTAGTCTTATGGAAACAAGGGCAAGTTATAATTCTCCTTCCCTAACCAAATGTATATATACAACAATTTTTCAATAACGTTTACTACTAAATTTAAAACTGTTGGTAACATTTCATAGAGATTCATGAAATATCCTTATCTTGATGACACTGTGAGCACCACCACATCATCTGGCAAACTCAGAAAATCAAATTCAACTACACCGAGCCACTAGAAGACCCTTTCAATAATGGAAAGATCTTTTGCAATTCCAGTTTCTCTTCCATCGTGAAATTACCTAACCAAGTAAGATGCTAAGACATCGCAACACAAAGAACACAACCTAGCACAGAATGAAATGAGTACAATTCTTGCAGGGATTCCAGAAATAATGGCAAAATTTTAGTGCATTTTTGGTAATCTTTGGTGTAATACAGGTGTTCAACTGCTGCCCACCTCCATATATCAATCATCTCTGTTGGGTTACTACAATATCTGAATTCTAAACCAGTAAAATAAAGAAATAATTTATGAATTTACAACCAAAATACCTCAGTACTATAAAGATTTGTTTTCCCAACTAAAATGATCAAGCTATGAGGAGTCATATCATATGCTCACAGTCATGTTAAAAGGAAGTTCTTCAGCTAGAATCTGGACTCAAATTGCCCCAAAATTCAGTTTTGCTATAACCACCACAGTAAACTATGCTATTTTTAGGAAACCAGCATTTCTAAGTTTCTGTTATAAAATGCACAAAGCACTAATGCATGACGTTCACTGCTTTGAGTAGTTGCTATCATCCATATTGGATGATATCCAAGGGTGGATAGCACGGGCTGTGCAAATTCCTACAGGAACACACTAACCAAGCACCTCCAGATGAGATGGTAACTGCTGACTTCAGAGACTGCATGTATTTCATGCAGATCATCAGAGAGAATTAGAAAACCCAGCCAGTTAGACAAACCAGCTGGATAATTCAGGAGGCAACCACCTATCAACAGCTAAAGCTGGGGTTTTGTTATTTTTTTCTACTTGTTTTCTAATAATCTTCTTTTCAATACTTTATTACAAGAGTTCAAAGTAGAGGGCATTAGCTTTCTAAACATGTTCCTTTGTTTTTCTAGCAGCTATTAATCCATCTCCTTCTTTGCAAGAGCAAAGAGAAAGTTCAGCTGGCCAAACTTCTTGTCTTCAGTTCATATAGAAACAAATGCTACTCAGTTATTACTAACACTAATCGATCTTTGATTTTGGTAGGCAATATCTAATACATAAAAAGCTGGCTATTTGTAAATACAAAAAGTATTGATCCTAAACAACGAAGACAAGTTGCAAAGACTTAATTCAATAAAATTTTCAATGAAATTCATCTTAAGAAAGAACAATGAGCTCACACAGCTGTACTTTTACAAAATAAACTCTGCAGTTTTCAGTCTGTAGTTGCAGAGCTCTATGTACTGTAGGTGGAAGGTGTTTTTATTTAAATGATGTATTTCTACTCTTTTTTTTTAGCACCGACATTTAACTACAAGGATGAGTAATATATGTGTCTGGATAATAATATCTAGACACAACATGACATATTATTTAATTTTGTTGTTGTTGTTGTTTTTTTAAGTCCCAGAACCCCAATCACACATGCTGACACCACTCAAAGGGATCGGTATAGTTGTATTAAAGTCCTTAGCAAACAAGGATGGAGACAAGCTCCTGACCCTACAAAGCCTGGGAGCTGCAGTTTCAGGACTGGTTTAAGCAGAGTTTCTGAAGAGCAATCCAAGCACAGGCTGCAAGGCAAAGAAGCAGTCCTTTCTTTTTTCCTCACCTTGACTGCAAGTTTTTCCTTCAAATGGAGTGAAATACCAATACCAGGTTTTGACTTTTTTTTTTTTGATGAGCTAGCTTTAGCTGGGATCAAGTGATGTGAATCAGATCACCAAGCACATTAGCATTTATATGATAAGCAAATGACTTGGAAGCCCCAAGTTAATACTTGGGTTGGCCTCGATGGATTATAAAGTCACAGCCTGAGACTTGTTTAGCATACTCAAGTTGTGAATAAATTTACACAGAAACAGAAGGCCTCACCTGACACCAGAGTAATCTATTGTTCAATTGCCCATATAAATGCATTTGGTAAAGCATCGATTCACGTCATTTTACTTAATCAACTAGGCTATTGCTATAAACCTCTTTGCCAAGGCATAAATGGGTAATAACTGGCTTTCATGTTCCTGGGAGGATTGGTCAGTTTTTACAGGGATGAAGCAACTAATTTAAAAAAGTTTGAAGTTCATTTCACTCACTCTTCAAAGTTTTCAGTGCATCAAGTTGAAAAAGTAAAATGTGTTTATTGTGGAATAACTCAAAAACTGCACTCCAAAACAATTGTTCCATTAATGACTTAAGAGAACATCAGCAGCAGGGTATCTTTCACCTCATGTGAAGTAGAATATACAATTATTTTAAAACAAAAAGGTAGAAGGGCATGACTCATCCAGTTATGATAAATAAAAATTGAGCATACCTGTATAAAAATATCAAATATGGTTAACACTGGGAAGGGAAAAAGATATTTAAGGTAGAAAACAGTGCCAGGAGAAAAAGAAATGTGCATAAATCAGATGGCAACGCAAGCAGGTTGAAAGCTGGATTCCTAATCAGTGAAAGGAGTTCGGGAACAGCTTTCTAATTGAGGCCATAAACACTCACTGAGCTCCATATTATATAAATATATTGCTGTATGAACAATGTAATGTATATAAAATACATATAAAAAGTAGAAAAGGATCTTCTAAGTTTATGTGAATATTATTTGTTGTTGTTCTTGGCTGATAAACAATAAGGAGCTCAATATCATATTGAAGTATGTTAAAGCGTATCGTTTTGTGGAGGATAGCACCTCAATTAAAAATTAAAGGTAATTAAGCAAGAACTTTGTAACTTGTAGGAAGAGTCTGCATAATATGCAAGAAAGCAGATATCTGCTGACAGGCATCTTGAATTTTAAGGGTAGCCATAATAAAAAGAAACTTACAAAGACAGATATTAATTTCTGAGAGTTGACACCACTTTGAGCACCAACAATTGATAGCTTGCAAAAAGGCACAATAGGAGGGATATAAGAAATGAGTTTTAATATGTTGACTTGATTCATTTAACATGCAATGAGCACAGCAAATATACTAAACCAAGTTAATATCATGCAGTCAGCACACAGTATAGAGGAGGAGGCTGGCATGAACTACTTTTGTTATATAAATGATAATTAACAAGAAATGAAACTTATATTATTACACTCAACTTAGCTGAAGGATTTTTTTTCCATTTACTACATTAACATTTGCTGATCCCCTTTATATTTCATTTTCTGAGTTACCTAACAATTTATTCTTCTTGAAATAATTAAGTAACTAGGAACACATTTAAAATATTAACACGAAGTTAATGGGCTGTAAGCATTCGTCTAGAACAAAACAATGAGTACTTTAATTGATGCAGCAAATGCAGTAAACAAATTATATCATCCATATTTCTCCAAAAGCACACAATACTCGCTGGTGTTATAAAATGCAGCCAGATTTCTCTAACACCAGTCGGGAGATGAAGTATCAACAGCATAGACAGCTTCTCATTATGTTTATGTCAAAGGCTAATGCAGCATGAATCGCAAAAAATGTCAAGCACTTTAAGAGCAATACATTTTAAAGAAAACTGCTTACCTGAAAGAAGAACATGTTACAGGTTTATGCTTTTATTTTTATTGACTTTGTTCAAATCACTAGCAAGACTATGTGGTAAAAAGCAACGAAGACCTACCAAGCACTCAGTAGATGAATGTCCAGAAGTAGTGATATTGACAGGTTTGGTTAGTTCCATTGTTTCACAATAAATTTACTACACAATATTTTTCTCCAGAAATAGGATTTTAGTACATAAGATGGGATGCATCTGTCTACTGAGCCAAGAGGATGTTTAAAAACAAGTGTGCAACTTTGCCGACACGACATATCAATGCAGTCTATGGACAGACTGTGAGGTGCCCATCTAGGCAGAGAAGTCTCGTTTGTTCTCCTCCCTTCTTGACTACTTGCTCAACAGCACGTTTTTATGACCTTAGGTACTCTGTCAACATGTGGAACAGCTTCAAATATTATCATCCTCCAACCACTAGTTTACATTCCTGTGGTGCGAGTTACTATAACCACACGAGGCTCGTAGAAGAGAATGTGGAAAAATCATCACCCACATTCAAAGGATGGAAGTGGATAGAGATCCACTTAGTTCTTTGGATTAAAATGGAAAAGTAACAAGCTTTGGGAGCTTTTGATTTTAACTCTGATCAACTGGACTTTATTCTGTACAGATGTGTTCTCTTTTCCAACAAAAGAACAAAGAGAAAATAAAGAGACTGTATGGATGAATAGCCATAGTGTTACTTTTTTTTTTTTTTAATCTGATAGTGTACTAATAGATGGACTATCCCTTACAGTATACAGTTTTAGACAAGTTTGTAAACTCTCCATAGCATTATTGCTAGTCCATCTTTTACTACACCTTCAGATAAAAGAAAAAAAATATATCCACCTTTAGTACCTCTCTAGACATGTAAAACCAAAAAAGAACTATTTTCATGAGTATTTTTCAACTTAATGCATATGAATGTTTTCTACTTGCTGCATGCAGACATGAAAAACAGCAGAATTCAAGAATTTTCATGAAACTTTCCTGGAACTGTTAAGATGTGCAGTTTGTATACAATATATACTTTGAAGAAAAGTTACATTAACTCCCTCATCAAAAGATGGCTTTTTACCATATAAGCTTGGTAGGAAGCACCAATTTCATTTGCTTTTGTCCACAAGATCCAGACGGGAAACCATGGAGAAAACCTGCCTTAAAGAATAAGTATTTAACTTCTGGAACAGAGAACTGTACTGTTGCTGAATGAACTCCAGATACAGCTCGGAAGTTATGCCTGTAAATGAACAGTGCAAATCAAGCTTTTCATGCAATGATTACATCAGCATCGGCACTGCAAGAGTCATACATCTTACATTTGGAGAAGGATCCGTTTGTTCATATTTTGTATCTTCCTTCCCATTTGCTTCAGACTGTTGCAGTTGGTATGATCTGCCTTCAATGAAATTAATATAGTCTTTGTAAGAGCATAACGGGCCTGCCAGGATACCCATGAAATTACAGTTGTAACTTAAATACTCCAGTAGACTTGGCATGCGTCTGCAATTCAAAGACAAGCAGCTCGTGAGATGGCATGTGTGTTTCCACAGAATTTCCACAGTAGGAGAAGTCATACTGCACGTCATTGCTCACTTTAATTGCAACAAGAACCAAACGCAGAAAAGCACTTCATGTGTATTTTGCAATCACAACTTAAATCATTCTAAACACAGCACTGCTTTCCAATCTCTACTGAGCATTTTCAGACTGATGTCTTTAACTCTGGTGACTTTCTCCTTGCCCTGAGGAGGCATTTGACTAAAGCTGAGACTGGGGAAGGAGAAGGAAGGTGTTTCCCCAAGTGTTCAATTGTTTCTGTTTTCTTTTTTCCCCTCAGTAACTGAATCAGTAAACAAAGGTGTGTGTTAACTGGCAATAAATTAAGTTAAGCAAAATTCCTCAAGTCAAGACTTTTGCCCAGGACAACATATTATTTTCAAGTCTCCTGAATAAAGAAAGGAAAAAATGTAAGTTAAATGCTGAAAAACAGAAATTAGACAAATATGTTCCTTCACCAACTACTTTATGTGTGTACTAAGTGTTAACTAGTCTCCTATCTGATCCAGCATTAATTTGCATATAATGCATAGAACTTTGGTTTTATACTTAAGAAAAACATTCCATTTCAAGTGGTATTTTCCAGGAGAATAAATGCATGTAATTAAGTTATAAATATACAAAGCATGGATCTGTTTTAGATGAGTTTGTAAACTCTCCATCTTGAACATGAACTGCAGCAATTCCACAAAGTATCAATAAAGCACACAAGCCACTGGCTTCTCCCCGCCCCTAAAACTAAACTCTCAGATCACTGAAAGCCTACCTTACAGCCAAGCATCTTTGTGATGGTGTCAAATCTTCATTTTTTCGAAACATTCCTAGGGAAGAGCAAAGGCAAAGGGGAAAATAAAGAAAAGGTAGAATACCACAAATTAATTAGCAGTGTCTTTAATCAGTAGAGCAAACCTTATGCTATAACATATTTTTTTTTATGTCCTCAATTTGTTTCAGACATATTATAACATGTAATAACTGCTGAAATTGGATACGACGTTTCTCACTGCTGACAAAATTACAAAATTTCATATTCTCAGCTACATCCAACAGCGCCTAAGCCTGAAACCACATAGATTTCAGGAAAGTGTTAAAAAGTCTTGTAAAAAGCTTTGAAAAATACAGTTCCCTTACATTCTTAAGTTTTCAAAATGTACAGGTTTCAAAACCTTTTACTACCAGTCAGGGACGTTGAACTCCAAACTCCATTAACCCAGCAGTAACCCAGGGACACCACGCTAGTCACACACCTTGAAGTGTACATGAACACAGTCCAAGACAGATTTATGTTACCCAAAGCATGATGCAGACCTAAAAACCACCATCATGCTGCAAGTAAAGTTTATAAACAAGGTCCAGTGAAGCAGACACGACAGTAAAGGGTGCCTGAGTCTTCTCCATGAGCCTTAACCCCTGCCAGCAGAAGGGGGCAGGCCAAGCCCAAGCAGAGCAGCAAGGCCCAAGTCACATTCCTGTCATACCCGGCCCTTTGTGAAATGCTGGTGGCCTACTCCTGAAAAACTAGTTTCTGAATTCATGTTGCTGTAAAAGAGAAAGGTCAACAATATAACCTTCAACACTAAATAATTAAAAAATACATTAATCTGAGGGCAGGGTGCAGAACAAGCTGAGCTCCTTCCTTCCAACAGGCTTCAGCTCCTCCTGCAGGCTCGCCTCCAGCCCAGCCCTTTGTGGGGGCATCCATTCTGTGCTGTTCGCATCTGCAAGCTTCCTTTGTGGCTGCAGACACTCCAAAATTTATTTTCTAAAGCGTCACTTCCTAAGGGAAATTAAGCTTGTGGAATCCTACTTCAATTATCTTCCTCTCTAGCAGGTTCCTAAACCCAAAAGCGAATTTCCAATCAAGTGTAATGAAAGAGTAGAGGTAATATAGATATGAAATTCTAATGTGTTTTATAAAAATAGGTGATTATATAGATAATATAGAAGGAAAAGATCCTCCTCCGCTCACAGAAAGATTACCTTCAAGGCCTGCCCCTTGATGCCAGTAAATCCACAGACAGGAGTCTTTGTATTTGATGTAAGCTTATATAAGGAAAGTCTCAACTGGAGTCTTTCTCTCTCTATATATATTAAAAAACTATATATATATAATATATATATGTAGGATATCAAAATCAGTAAAGTTTGAGACAAGAAAAAGAGGGGGGAATCAGAACTTGCTTATACTATGGCTCATGGCAATACTTTTTACCTAAAGAGAAGGTACCTGTTGTCTTCATAGGACTTAAAAACTTCACTATTAGTCTTCAAAGCTCAGACAATAGAGGGGACTTAGCAAACTGGCATCTCTTACAACCTGAAAAAGTGCCTTCTTCACTCCTGATGCTCCCCATTCATTCATACTCAAGGGGAAAAAATATAAATTTTAGCACAATCCTTAATTCCACACAGGCACTTTCTCTTCCCCACAATTACAGTGTCACATCTGCTCCTTAATACTACAGCAAAGATTTCTATGCTGATAAAGTGCACTGAACAAAAACACGTAGGAGAAGCTTCTTGGAAGGTCCTTTAACTTTTAAGGCATTACAGGGCTCAGGTACTAAATCCTGGAATTTAGCACAATCTAAAAGAGAAACTCAACGCAGAGACTCACATAAGATGTGGATCACACAACACGAACCGTATAGGGAAGAACTTTGCAACCCCTAGCAAAACAGCCCAGAGCAGAATCCTCCCTAGTGGTTGTATCCCCACGTGGATACCTTCTTCTCTGAGTCAGAAGGAGGAAGCAGTGACCACATGTCCAAATTAACTTGCCCAAAGCCAGACTAATCACTAAAGCAAGGTAATTAGCCAAACCTGTCTCAAACCTGTACAGTGTACAAGTAAGCCTCCTTGTAGTTTTCACCTCCCTGTCTCACTAACATTTCCCTCCATCCATCAGCTTCGTGGAGGTCAGTGGCTTTCCCCATAAGCGTTTTTTGATGTCTTTTCAGTGCCTGTGTCACACTCTTGAAAGCTTTCAGGAAGCTGCTGTTAACACTTATTAATAGACAGAAAAGGGCAGAAGGTGCTTTTAAAATCATACAACAGCCCAGGCTGGAAGGGACCTTGAAAGCCCATCAATCCCAACCTTATCTAACACGAGATAAATGCATACAAGTCCATTCAATATTTCCAAGGCAGGGTATCTGCCCATGGGGTCAGAGGCCTCAAATCATAGCTGTTCCCACACACAAGAGATAAAGAAACCCTGTTTCATCAGCACACCACTGCCAGGGAATTCATGAAGTTTTCTAACTTTTCCCTGGGGTTTGTGAGAAATATTTTCTCTTGTCCTAAAGCAGCCAACTACTGCGATGGCTGCAGCTTTCAGTTGCTACCAAAGCACACAGTGGGGATGAGAGAATACAGGTTTTATCGAACATCTGTTAGAGAGGTGAAATGATTTGGCCACTCAGCAACTATAACTCAGTTTTCTCATCTGTAAAGTAAGAAACAAGCCCACATTCCTTTCTTGCTGAAAGAATTTTGTAAATCACCCCTAGCAAAATTTATCCCCATTGGTCTAAATCATGAGGAAGCTGCACCTGTTCATTCCTCCTCGGGAGATCACATCCTAAAGGTAGCAAAATCAACATCTTTAGGTACATGCCAACATCCTGCCCTCCCTATAGGCTTTATTAAAGCCTGTTTTGACTACCACCATGCATCCTCACAATTACAATACAACGTTATCATCACATCCTGGTATTACCCCAGCTTTGTAGTTAAGCTGCTTGGATATATCTACCTTTACATTTACATGGAAATCTGGCTATTCAGTAATTCATTAATAATGCTTAAACTTGAGGTTATTTTACAGTAATAATACTTAAACGTGGAGATCCTATCACAAGCCTTGTCGTAACTCCAGCAAATTTTAATTTGAGGTTCTGAAATGGATCGCCAGCTGAGCTCAGATGCTTGCTGCTACCGAAACATTTTAAGACCTGAAGAAGACCCAGACGTTCAGTACCAGTTTTAGTTGTTACTAGCACATTGGAAGCAAACAGACAAAGATGCCAGCTGAGTAAAATTGCACAGAAACTACAAAAAAAAAGAAAGAAAAATCAGAAACTTTGAAATCCAGAAAGCCACACCAGTGAACATAGGCTGAAAACAACACTTAAAGACTTAGGGATGGAGAAACACAATATAATCCTTTAAAAACGAACGATGTGTACAGTAGTGAATGTGATTTGGTAAAATGGCCATGTTGTCACAAACACAAGAGAGAACACTTTAAAAAAAAGCCATACAAAAATACAGATACTGCAGTTCGGATAGGACTACTCATTACCTGCCAACCAAGAAGAAATTTGCCCTTTTTTCTTTTCAGTTATATTGCTTAAAAACATCCTAAGTGTATGGTGTGCTGCTACGACTGGATGAAGCTGGTAACAACAGACAATCAAGACCACTGCGACTAACATGGGGTTTGCACATCTCCAACTTTAGGCTTCTTTCTTTTTCCTTATCTGTTTTTTTCCCATTTTTCCATGAGTTTTCTCTGTCCATTAAAATATCTTCCTCCCAGGGGCCATATGGGGCAGAGACTCTGCTTTCATAATTTTCTGGGGAAAGTAGCTCTAATGGCCAATTTGGAAATCTTACAGCACTATAATAGTGCAATAGTAATACGAGCACAAAACAATCCAGCCATTGTCCTCATATGCTGCTGTTGAAGTGAAGTAAATGTGGGGAGATCAAAAAAAATATTGGTGCATGACTAGCATGTAACTAAATCTTGCCAAATCATGATTCAAAGGAAAAGGCAGAAGCTAAAAACAAAGCAAACACACAAAACCCAGCCCTTTAGAGTACACTGAATATGCAACTCATCTCCTTCTAGCTCTCACAGCGAATGCAGTGCCTTACCAGATCAGCATCAATGTCTATTCTCTTGCTTTTAAAAATAGAGGGCGCCAGATACATCATCATAATTAGAAAAAAAGCAAGCAGTCTTCCAGGAACAGCACATTTAAGCACTACGGAGCTGAAAACTAATACATGAGGGGTGGCAGAAGGGTGCATACAGGACAGGAAAGTTTGTTTTTTTGTGGTCAGAAAGGATATGAGAGATAAGCCCTCAGGAACACAGAAAAAGCTGCCAGAAGAGTGTTATGGTTCTGGTCTCCTACCTGTGTCTGAATACATTTTTCTGACAAATGCAACATGGAAATATGAATAAATAGTTTGGAAGAATTACACTTCTTTCTTAGTAGATGAGTATTACGTTTAAGAAGTTACTACTTTTCCTGTTTAAGTCTTATGTATTATTTAATTTAAGTTAGAGAAAAGAAATAAGAATGAGGTTGGAAGAAGCTGTAACCATTTTACCCCTTTTAAATAGCAAATATCAAGTCTAATGTTCCCTGTTTTTGCTGACTGAATCTCTTGGTGATTTAAAAATAAGTATGTCGTGAGCTCCAGAACTTCCTTGGGTTATGAATATAACTGATGAAGAGACTCTTTGTTAAAGATTCATTAAGCACGAGAGTTAAAAACAAGCTGTCAAAGTCCATACAGATTAGTGAGATTAGATTTTGATACAGGTCCTTCCTGTAAAGATCTCCCAGCTCATACAGAATTGCAGAAAATGAGCGAGGCTCATGTGCGGGTGAGTGCATTATAAGCAAACGAGGGAGAACTCAGTATGTAACTCATCACAAATTGCAGGCATTAAGCAGTCACAGTAACTTTCTTCTCCCCTGCTCAACTTTTCTTACTTTGTAATTGCAAAAGCTTCTCTGCTTGACACCATCTTCCAGCTAGGAATTTCGTATGCACATTTTTAGCCTTTCTAAACCAGCTGCAGATTATCGTCATGCTTCTGGAACATCTGCAATGCACCTTTCCTTCTCAAAAATATGCCAGTTTTAAATTTGGTGAAAAAAGGTACTTCAGACAGAATATGAAGTACAAAAAGTTCCCTTTTCCCCCTAACTCTGTCATTAGCCTAACAAATCTGTATCTTATATCTATATTAATACACAAATCTAGATCTTGCCATACAGAATGAATATGGACACAAGCAGTCTCCAAATCATGTAAATATTTCTGCCTTTAAAGTGTGCATGTGTGATGCCAAAAATAATCTGCAAGAACTTAACATACTGACTGTTCATTTTTGGCAGTGCTCGTTTAAGTAGCAAGAACCTGTATGAAGGCAAGGGCTTAAGTTCAAGACATAAATCAAAGTACACCAAAGGCATAGTCTAAGTTTATCCAGGTGTAAATTTGTGATCCAAATAACCTTCTGAAAAGAATCATAAAATCATTAAGGTTGGAAAAGACCTCCAAGATCACCTGGTCCAACCATTCCCCTACCACCAATGTCACCCACTAAACCATGTCCCTAAGCACCACGTCCAACCTCTCCTTGAACACCCCCAGGGACAGTGACTCCACTACAAAGCAAACTTGAATTATTCCTATGTAATTTGCACAGAATTCTCCTGCTGTAATAAAAAATAAGCCCACAGAAAGTACCCACGGTTGTAACAGTTACAGCAATTGTCAGTGTTTCTGTACAGAAGTACTGGAGTTGGACTTGGAATCAAGGACACCCACCAAGACTAGAGAGACTCATTAGCATGCAACGTGAGTGAGTGGCCTTCGTGATTATATCCAGTTCTTTCCAGGACCTTCATATGTAATACCAAAACCTGAACACAATGAGTAGGCTGCCAGGAAAAGACCAGGTCCAGGAGACTTGCCTTTACCACAAAACCAACTGTTTTCATTGATTTCTCTCAGTGGATCCCTTCTAAGTTCTGTAAGTTGTCTGGGGTTAAAAATCATTGTTTTAATACAATCTCATTTTCCCTTGTATATCTTTTCTCGGCATCTCCTGACATCAGACTCATAGTTGCTCCTGAATTTATACTGGTCTCACCAACCTTTTAAAGTTATGCTCACACCGTACTTCTAGCAGCTGTCCTTCTCCAGCTCAACTCAAGAGCTCTGCTAAACAGCAAATGCAACCAGAGAGAAAGCTTTCCAGTATTTTATCAGCTACTCCCCAGAGGCTTACAAAAAATGTAGAGGATCTCTGATGTGGGGGCAGCAAGGAAAAAAATTTCAAGATTGATGCTCAGAATTCAATGACATCCCTGAGAAATTCAGACAGAAAATAACCTAGACTTACTAGGAAACTACAAATTTTCTGTATTAAGTAGGAAAAAAAACTAGCATAGTCTGTAATGAAAGTTAAGAATAGAGCTGACTAAATGAAACATTTTTTTCAAGACTACCAGAAACACCCACATGCTTGTCCCATACCCCAACTCCACTACTTGTGCATGATGTCAGTAAGTCTAGAATAGCTCCTTCCCCTAGCAAAATAATAGTAGGAGGAAGCATTTATCTTTGATACCAGAATTATTACTTCCTTAGAATAAGTTGTTTCCTCTAATCTGCATACTCTGTACTCTAATTGATTGTAGCTTGCAAAACTAATACTGTGTATGTTTCCTCTGGAAGTTAGACATCAGATTTTTGACCAATTAGACACATCTAGCATTATTCATTCATTTTTGTTCATTCAAGAATTCGTACAGGAAGTGTTTTCCAGGCTTTTCATCTTTATGAATGTTGTTGCCTACAGGCTTCTCTAGGCAGTGTTGTATGAGAAAGGAAAAAAATGCAACAACATCACTAAAGCTTGTTCGCACACAAGGCAAAAAATATATTAAACTCCAAATATGACATTACTAAAGACTTCTCAGAAAAACAGGTGGCTTGATCCAGGTGTCTGGGGCCACATACCCAAATCTTCAGGTGACAGCTGTAGTTCAAGAAATTCAAGCTGATTAGATAAGTTCCCTAGATACTTCCAAACTAAGAGAAAGACAATTACTCCTTTACATTTAAAAGTAACTAAATACCTAGACATCCTACCCTTGAAACATACATTAGGATCCATTTTTGTCACAACTAGGGCTCATTTATCTGCTGGAAAAAATTGGTAGGAGAAAAGACAAAAACATGATTATATATACTCTCCCTGTTTGCACTTTGACACATTAGCAGTGAGTGACTAACATTCCTTAAATTCATTTTGTTTAGAACATTAAATGGAAAATTAAAGACGATTTAAAGAAATCTTACCATCATGAATCTCAAAAGCCAAACTAGTGATCTTCTGAGTAATTATCATCATGGGACTGTTACAAGAAAAGAAAGAAACAGAGAAAAAAAGTTCAGAGTTTTCTTTCACATGTAAACATATCAGAGAAAATTTATATTAGTAGACCAGGTTAACTGCTCTCTACTGGAAGACTTCTAATACAAGGACAAAGTGGTTAGTTTTTAGAGGTCAAAACATTACAGAGTTTTCAAACTATGAAAATAATTTACTCCTGAGACACAGTATTTGAAAAATCATGCCTTTTGTTGGGGCATTAGGTTCCACAAACACAGCCAAAGTGTTTTACATTTTACTTTCTAATAGCATAGTCTTTTGTTGTTGTTCTTGTTGTTTTAAACAGCAGGAATAGTAAAGAAAAAAGAGGGCTGTAAGAACCATCTTATGCATTATAAATTAGAGCAGGAAAGGACAATATATATACCAAAGCTGAACAGCAGAATTATTTATTTAGCTTTGCAGACCATTTTCACTGTTTCTCCTAAGAGCTGGTCCTGTGCTTAATTTTTCAACTACAATTATTATGTACTTCAAGTAAACATATCAGGCAAAACTAAAACCTAGCATAATTATGCTGACTCTAATGGAATTCAGTTTGTGCTGAATTTGGTACACTTGATTGGATCTTAAGCTTCCCAAGAGAGATTATTTGCTGGCTAAGTAACTCAGCTTCAACTGTATTGGAAAACCAAAAACTTTATTGTGAAATGGTAACCATCTCCATAATAGCTAAGAATTATCAACTGATATAAATCCCAGCATTGCTAACCCCTGACAGGGGTAGTGGAGAAAAAAACATAAAGAAGGCTACCAGAATAGAATTTGGAAACTGAAATCAGATCTTAAAAATATATTGGAGACTATTTGCCTCGTAGTATCTGAGCTGCAGATATAAATAATATATATATATTTAAAATATAAAATATGATATATAATTTATATAAAATATGAATAAATAAATAAATCATACTGTAGGATGAGCCCATAACTTTGTTCAAGTCTTGACTGCACTCAGCCTTTTTCACATATTTAAATTACAATAGAAAAGTAAATCCAAAAGCTATCGAGTCCTCCTTTACTGACAGTATTTTGCCAGATGGATCAGTCTGTCAACTGGTATTTTTTAGATTTTATGTTATTTTGAAGTGCAATATATTTTCAGTCCTCAAAATGTAATCAGGGGAAAAAAAAGTTTTGCATTGTATTATCAGTGCCCTAAAAATCCTGTTATCGAGGCCAGAGTGACAGGCAAGTGTCAGCAAGGAAAGAACCCAAATGAGAATAGGCAGACTGGGAAATCCCTCACATCCCTTTCCAGCATTTAAGCTGAAGACCTGCTTGGTAGTGTCACAGATCCCTAACTGATTCCAAACAGAATGGGTTTTCCTTCTGTAATGGACATTTTCAGTAGATGGACAAGCAGAGATCCTGCTTGGCTGAAGGACGGAGCCCAGGAGGAGCTCAGCCAGACCTTGCATAAATTCTAGCTCACACGTCTGTTATTGTTATCACAGCAGTCCCTGGCATTTCTTCCTTCTGAGGTGGCTATTCCAGCATCTTCAGAGGCTTGGCTGAGGAGCAACAATATGAAAGAGGAAGAGCCCTTCCTGGAACAGTGAGGCTGTGTAGCAGAATTTTAATTTTAATTTTAATTTCCCTTTCAGGTGCTGGCAGAAGGGCAAAGGAACCTGTGGAAGGCTTGCTGGCAGCTGGGATCTGTCACTACCAAAGCCAGGATTGCAATGCTCTGCACAAGCGACGGCACCTCCAGCACGGGGTCAAATTTCCTTGGCAGATTCTCTGGGCTTGGACACCTCCGATTTGCACGATGGGCTAGGAGAAATATCTAGGTATTCATTCAGAGGTCTGTCAGGGCTAACCACTATACAAAGCCATGCCAATTTCGTCAGTACCAAGAAAGAACTTGAGGGTACTGGGATTCTACAACTGTTTAGGGCATTTTTGTTATTTTTGAGATTATTCTCTTCCCCTGGAACTAGAGAAAATTGGTGGAACATAGCCTTCTTCAGTTCAAGTTGCAGCATGTCGTTCTCCTCCTGTTTTGGAAGTAACATCTGTCTCAGGCCTCAAGGGAGCAGATGCAGTTTATGCCAGAGACTTAATACAATATGCATGCACCAAGCTCCCAAACCAAGGTATGAAAGGGTATTTTAAATCAGGCAGCTCCAGCACACAAGCAGGGAGACGGATCCAGGCTTTACAACAGTTCTATCCAGAGCAGACCTCATGAATCTCCGGACATGTTTAGAAAGAGGGTTTAGAAATCTCTGAAACAAACCAACACAGCCACAAAGACAGCTGGTATCTGAAAGCAATACAGCCCCATTTGAGCGAGTGTGTTCGAGCTGCTATTAATAGTTTGAGAGCAGCAACAAGCAAATGCAATTACACTGCTTCCCGGTACAGCTCAGAGCTTTGGTCACTGCTAGGCTGTACCCACTTTGGCCCTACAGTGACCTGGGAGGGACAGCATTTGGATTCTTGTTCCACTCCTAACGGTGGCATTCAGTTCAACATTAGTAAATGGAGCTTTGTGTGTCTTTATGCTTATGTCTGTGTTGCAATCTCTCATTAAAGTCAGCAGATGTAGACAATACAGTCAGGGGCATATGTCAAATCATCCAGTTCCCATCAAGGTGGATACGTGGTGGTGGGTCAGCTGAAATGCCCTCCAGGCTCTGCTGTCTGCATTGATTAGATCTCCTCTGCCTGGAACAACAACTTGGGTATCTGGCTCGAAGGCAGACACTTGTTTGTAGACACAAATACAGAAAGATGTTTCAGAAGGTTAAGAGCCAGCTTATAACAACAGAAAATATTAACTTAACCACAAAAGCTAGAGGCTTCAGCCTACAAGTTAGTTTTTGGGCTCTTACCAATGAGGATTGAGAAGTGACAAGGCTAACACACACAGCTGCTACACAATACAGGTACCACTGAACTACAAAGACCAATGCCATTCACAGTATTCCTGCAAAGTATGTAATACGTTTTATTTATTTTTTTTTTTCAAACAAAAATAAAACCTTTCTTGCCTTTTTTTTTTTTTTCAAAATGCTCCTTTAAATCAAAGCACCATCAAGAAAAACATTTATAGAAAATGTTGTACTTTGTTTCTGTCTGCAGTACAAAGAAGAATCACCAATTTTTTCTTGTTTTTACTTTGCATTTTGATTATATTTTGCTCATATAGAGCTCCAACCAAGTATAGGTTAAGCTCATTATATAAAATGAGGACACATACAGGCATAGCTTCCTATTTCCAAGGGCTGTGTGATTACCCAACCACACCTCTGCTTGGCTTTCACTTTCTGAAACACTTCATATAAAACCCAAAACAGAGCAAAGCTAAAAGCTAATTTCCTTAAAACATTCAGAGTTTCCTCATGTTGTGGGATCAGACTGCGTAAGACATACATGCAGACACAATTCAGGTTTCATCATGTGGTAGTAAAGGGAAAAAAAAATAAAACAACAGATACAGCATCACATAGCAAGGCAACATGGGAAGATTTTTTTTTCTCCTTACCCAGAAAAATCAGCAGAATACTGTCCATAATCAAAGATATAGACTCTAGTAATTTGGCACACAGTGAGGTATCCCAAAGCAAAAACGAAGCAATACCTGGAAGGAAAAGAGGAAAAAAATGCTTTTCAATTAAAAAACATTATCATTTCTCCATTAAGTCAGCAATCTTTAATTAGCTTTTAATCTCCAATTATCTCCAACAAGTATTACATAATTTGCATGTGCAAATACACTTTCATCCCAACTACTTTTGGTAATATTTATCCTACAGAACCATGTAGGTTTTTTTAAGTGCACAGTATTAAATTACAAATACTGTTGTCATTATCATATTTGTATTCACATCAAGCATAGGGTTTATAATTTAAATCCTGCTGTAAAAACCAGAAGCTCTAAAGAGAAAATGAATTTATTATTTTTAGATCAAAGTCAATCTTTGTCCATATGAGTACACAAATTAGGCAAATTATACATTGAACATCACCTCCATTGAACGTACTTCTATACATTTATAATTCAGCACCACAAATCCCACTGCTTCTGTTTTCAGAGATTAGAAAAGATGATTGATTTTCAAATACACACATTAAAACGTATCTGAGTGAAAAGGGAACAATACACCTTTATGCCTCCTGTTAAAGCTGATCCTTGCAAATATAAAAAAGATAAAAATAACCTTTTTAAAGTATTATAAATTTAATTTCACATATCATTTTTCAGTTCCGTTTTTTTCTCCCCTTTTTAAGACGTAAAATGGTAAACCGATGAGGCTTGATTTGCCAACATACCTCCCAAAATTGTCAGAATCTTTACAGTCAAAAAGAATGGTGAATGCCAGCAGAAGCTTCACTAACTCTGTAAAACTTTACATATGAACTTTACAGTCTTGAATATTCCCATGCAGCTAATGAAGCATTCATGGTAATGAAATCACGCTCTTGCTTAATGTTCACAAGACTAATGTTCAGCCCTGCAGCAGACCGTGCTGTACAATCAAAATCCAGTTAAAATGAAAATACTCGTACACCAAATGGAAAATCATGGCTAGGACTGTATTTAGATGAAATAGTGAGGGACGCTACAGGAGGAGTTTAGAACAGGCTTTTCCTTTCTTTTCCAAATCATTATTTTAGCAAAAAAGTGTTTACATAATTAATTCTAAAGTCTTAGAAATCATACTTCAACCTGAAAGTGATTCCCACCTTTGGCACACAGAACACTTGCAATTTAACTTCTAATTAAGAATTATGCTAGGTATGAACTATTTAACGTTTACAAATGTCCAACCTTCAAATTAGAGAACTATTTCCTACCATATATAACACATCAGTAGCTACATTAACCCTTGCTTCTTTGTGGTTGAAAAGCTTTAGGTTGCCTGCTTTAGCAATAAATAGTAGTTCCTGTTTTCACCAATATAAACAATCCTTAAACAACTATTAAACTGGATGGCTAATTGATACAAAAACACATATAATAGAAATCCAACAAAATTAAACAATAATTGGCTTAGAATTAAGTACAGAATTGGTACAGAATTAAGTACAATGTAGTGGACAGCCAATGTCAGGAGCATGATACATTGTAGAATTAAACTTTTCAAGAGGTATTTTAAGATTAAATTCCCAAAAATCCCACAGGTTTCTCATGAACGATGACTTTGCGCGTTTGATTTGCCCGCTCTGAAATCGTTCCCAGTTCTTCCGTTTGCTAAAATTTCAACATGATTTTAGCTTTACCAGCCTCTTGGTTTACACACTAAATAATCACAGACAAAAAATAACTTGTTACGTGTAGGGATACCTACGTACCCACCCATAGATACCACGAAAAAAATAAAAATTAAATATTGTAGTTAACCTATTGTATTATTGCATATTGTAATATTTCCTATTGTAATATTGTAGCCTATTGTAGTAGGCACCAATTTCGACCACATAGTTTATCTCGTAAATGCATTTACACCAAGTTTTTAACAAAACATTATGAAGACTTCTTTTACAAAGCAGAAAAGCTACAGCTGAAGAAATGCAAATATCCTAAAAGAAGAAAAACAATTAAAATTACAGAAACCTTGGGTTCCTTTCTATATAGTCATTATGATACAGTCCTACAGCACTATGTGAACATCCAGCTGAAAATTCAACTGAAATGGCCAGTCATTATTTATATCTAAAGCAAAGAGTTTAAAGCGAGTTGCGTTATACATTTCCACTCAGGAACACAGACTGAGGCAATGATCCTACCTGGTTATGGGCTGGTAGAATGTGCAAGAGTTTTAGAGGCACTGGCAGGTGGCTATGGAATCGCTTAAACACCTTAGGACTTCTACAGCAGGTTAACTTTCTACAGTGAAATGACCGCCTTGGCAAACAAGTGGAGAGCCACGGATATTATATACTTGGATTTCAGTAGGGTTTTTGATACTGTCTCCGTAAGATCTTCACAGAAAAGCTGCTAATGGATGGGCAGTGAGGTGGATCAAAAACTGCTTCAATGGCCAGGCCCAGAGTGTGGTGACAGCGGCCTGTAGTCTTGTGGGAGGCTGGTAGCTGGTGGTGTACCTCAGGGGTCAACACGGGTCCAGCCCTGCTCAACACCTCCATTAGTGATCTGGATGATGGGACAGCACCCACGACAAGAGCACTTTTTTACATTTCACGTTCTTAACCACCAACCAACCTCCAGATTACTACACTTTGACATCCTTATCTAATCCAGCCATAAATTTGCATTGATGTTCATAGCCTAGACTCCAGGGCAAACAATCCCACTTCTGACACTCCCTGATGCTGGAGTACCTGTCTGCACACAGCAGCAGCTCTTTGAGAGCGGAAATTATTAAAGATGAAGAATTAAAACAGCATCACATTTCATAAAGGATTTCAATTATTTCCACTTTTTTTTTTTTAAATTGTAAAGGTTCATGCTCACCACTACACTTAGCACATTTTTGCCAAAGTGGCCAAAATCCTAAAAACTTAAGCAATGAACTTTAAGAGGTGGGTCAGCTCCAAAAAAGACTCAAAACCTGAATTCAGTTGTAAGCTAAATTTAAAGCTTCGATTAGTCAAAACAGACTCTAACATCAGAACTCTGTGTGCCTGCGTTTGGCCTAAGAATTTATTAATTAATATCCCCATCCAAACCACAGCTTCAGTGATAGCAAGGATACTAAATGTGTTGGTGGTTCATATAACAGCTCCCAGCAGAAGATAACACAGACCCTTCTGTCCTGCTGTGACACGCTCCAGAAACTGCTGAGGAAGAAGGTGAGTTGAACCAATCTGCAGAAGTGAAGGCCATCCAGTTGGCTTTAGATATTAAACAGATAGATGTTAGATTATTATTAATATCTATTATTTAGATATTAGATAGTTCATGCAGTCGCCCTCAGGCCAGTCTGGGCAGGGCAAGGTGTAACAAAATGTGCTGCACACCTCAGCTGGGGAGAATGGCCCCACCTGGGGCCTCTGGCAGAAGGAGCCCAGGGAGACTCAAGGTCAGCCCCTAGGGTTTTGGAGTTAGGCATACAGACCTGAGGCCTGCTGTACTCCACCTGAAAGAGGTATTGGCATCATGTGAAGGGTTTCAAACTGTTTCTGAAGTGATCGGTACTGAAGCACAGCTCCTCCTGCCCAATCAAACCTGTTACGTGCAGTGGAAGGGGAAAACATCCCTGTGGTGCACATGAAGAAGCTGCTGGGGAAGACAACCTGGGCTAGTCCTGCCTCAGGCAGGGCAAACCCATCCATGGGACTGCTTTTGTTCAAGGATCTGTGCAGAAGGATGGGGAAGTCTGATGTGTACCTCAAGTGGGCCGGATGCTGGGTGAGAATAGCCCATGATTTGAATTGTACAGTGCTAATTGGTGCTACGTAATACTGTATGTCATCACTGCTATGGTTGCTATATGCCAAATCAATGCTATTACAGTAAGAAACACCCAGATCAATGAAAAATGAATTTTGACAGCACCAGACAAGCACAGCAGCGAGGGAACCAGAACTGGCTTCAGCCACAATCTGATTGCTACAACAGATGGAGCCCAAAGTCATGGATTAAATGAACTCAACAGACACGTTAGAGGGATGGCTCATAGATTAAGGGAAAGTTATCTGGGTGTATATGTATCAAGGGACAGGAATGATAGGGGTGATTAATTGGGATGTAGTGGAAAGTAGAGGACCTGACGATGACATAGTATAGAATAAGGGGTGCATATTGTACTAGTTTCAGATGGGATAGAGTTAGTTTTCTTCCTACTAGCTGGTATGGTGCTGTGCTTTGGGTTTAGGGTAAGAATGATGCTGCACACGGGTGGCTGAGCTGTGGCTCACACTGCCCAGGGCTGTTCTGCTCCTCACTGCCCTGCCAGCGAGTACCTGGGGGGGCACATGGCTAGGACAGGTGGCCCAGGCTGGCCAAAGGGGTGTCCCACACCACAGGGCACGATGCTCAGCAACAGGACTGGGGTAAAGGAGGAAAGGGGAGGATGCTTGGGGTGATGCCATTTGTCTTCCCCCAAAACCGTTCCACACGCTGAGCCCTGCTCTCCTGACAGTGGCTGACACTTGCCTGCCAAGGGGAAGAAGTGAATGGGTTTCCTGCTTTGTTGGCTTGCACAGGCAGTTTCTGCTTGCCCTAGTAAGCTGTCTGTGTCTCAACCCATGAGTTCTCACATTTTTACTTCTCCAATTCTCACCCTCATCACATGTGGGGAGAGGGAGTGAGCTGCTGGGTGGTGCTGAGCTGCCTGCCGGGGCTAACCCAAAACAGCTTCTTACGTTAGGATACAATCATGCATCACAGCCAGGTTTGAAGAAACAGGCTTCTGAAATTTATTCATTTTTATTGCTTTAGCACTGCAAGTTTGAACACAGTAAATAATTCTATGCAAAGACCTTCAGTAATAACTGAAAGGTCAATACACACAAGTAAAAGATACAAAACTTGGTGCTTCATCATGTGAAACCTGCTGTTTCAAAATCACCTTTGCTTCATATGCAAGTGAGAAATACACCTCTCTAACCTGACATTATCAACACTTGGCATTTAAGTCTCAGTAGGATTATTGTAGTTTGTCATGTGGCAGA